TTGTACTTGTTGAATATCTCAAGTTAAGTGTTCTTTGCATAGATAATCAAATTGTATTAATCTGAGCCTAATTGCACACTAATCGGTTTTCAATGGTATTTTTAATCAGTGGTCATAGCTAGAGTTCTAGGACATTGATTGATTAAGATTACTTGACTTAATCAGTGATTAAGGTTTTGATTTTAAATTAGTGAACAAATAACTCCCAGATCATTTTGAGCAAGGACCCAATTTCCATTTTCCAAGAAGCACTCTCTCATACTTCCCTAAAATCCAAGTTTTTATCATTTGCTATTTTTTTAATAAATTTTCTTTCAATTTTAATTTCAAATTACCTTTTGATATTTTTTATATAAAAGAAAATTAAAAAAAGTATTTATAATTGTTTTTAATTTATTTGCAAAATAGATTTCAACTTTTTATTAAAAAAACCAACCAAGAAAGCCCTTTTTAATAGCGATTCTGATTTTAGTTAATTTAAGACCTAGATATTTTTTTGTCTAATAAGAGAACGATTTTAGTTTGCATTACTTGCTGTTTTCTATATCAAATTTAATTTGACCCCCAAGGCAACATGAGGATCATCAAGCAAAGGTTCATTGTTTGAGCCATTTCCTACACTTGCAACAAAATTGACAACACCTCCAACAATTTTAGCAACACTAATAATGTCATTTACAACTATTTTCAATCACATCACTCCAAAACTTAGGAAAAATTCAATCAAGAGGTCACTATTTAAGTCATGTTATACACTTGCAGTAAAATTGACAATACCTTCATCTATTTTCACAACTTTGATAACGTCATTAACAACTCATTCTTTACATTATTTAGGCTATTTCCTACACTTGCAATGATATTTACAACACATCAACCATTTTCACAACCTAGTTAATGCAATTTACCACTGTTTTCTTTCTTCTTCTTCTTTTTTTTTTGCAATTTCCAAAATTGGAAATTCAACCAACAAGGATAATTATTTAAGATTTTCCTATACTTTAATGACATTGATAACATCGATAGCCATTTTCACATTTTCAAAAATGCCATTAACAACTTTTTTTTTTTAAATTTCCAAACTTGGCTAATTTAACCGGGGTTGATGAAACATCCATTATTTTACACTATTTAGTACGTATTTAGAAGCATTATGACTCAAGCGAATCATTAATTAAACTCATACATTAAAATTTTGCATTTTGATTCTCAAGTTACTATTCACAAGTAAATTTTAGATTTTTTGTCCAACTTTAAAAATTCATAACTAATTATAGAAAACTCATATTGAGGTGATTAAAATCTTTATTTAAAACTATTTCAATTCTCAACGGGGAAAAAAAATACTCATTGCTTCATTTCTTTTCTCATTACTTCCAAAATTACACATAAAATTGTACTGTTCATTTGGTCAAAGAGTACATTTTCAGATTCTCTGCTCTATTTTTGAGCAATCATATCTCTTAATGCATACATCTATTTTAAGTGATTTACCATTTATTTTAAATCTTAGAATGCGTATTAGTTGCTCACCAAATTTCATAGATAAATTCATTCATTTACCATACTTTTGTTTTATCTTAATTTAATTGCTCATTATGTGATAGTTTATCTCCTTATTTACATTATGATGCTATAATCCACCATTATCATGCATGCAAACATCCCATTTATTCATTAAACACTCCCATGCATTATCATAATCAATCATACATGTCATTCTCATCTTTCCTCATTGCATAACATTAGAGGCATATTCATGAATATCATCATGAAGAGTTACATAACATGATATAACATAACATTTCTTAAACTCTTCTCTTCCTCTTGACTCCATACCTTGCCAATCCTCTTCCTTGCTCATGAAACCTATTATGGTTGGTTGAGGAATGGTGAGATTTGAGAGAATCTCATTAGCAAATAATAACCACCCAAACATACATGGCAAGCTTAGCATTTATAACATGCTTACAACTCAACATCTTTATGACGTAGTGAAATGTTTAGAAATCATTATGCAATTATCATAAAACACATAAGATTATAGCATACTTTAAACATATTTACATTCACAATGCATGAGTTCATTAAATCACATAAACATACAAACATGACATACATACAAGTAAATACCAATCACACAAGAGTACGGTAAAGTTTGTTACCTTTAGGCTTTTACATTCGATCTTTCCTCTTACTCCCTTTGCTTCCAATTATTAAGATTGTTTGATCAACCTTTCCTATTCATCTTTCTTGATGTCACATGGCTCTAATCATATTAACACATCGTTACCATTCATTTCTTAGAGCCATAGAAGCAATGACATTCATATTTTGCTTTTTAACATACTTTAACCTCTAATTTTTGAGCTTTGATTCTAATCTTTTTAAAATTAGTTTTATATGATATTCCTCCATAATTTTGCATGTAGAATCTATTTTCAAATTCAAATTAAATAAAATATAACTCCAACTATAAAAATAGAATCCATTTGACCTAGCCTCAATCAGGATTTTTTGGTATTACCACTAGAAAACAAGCTGCAAATGAAAACCCTATATCATGCTAATAAGAAGAAGAAAAATAAAGTTTTGTAATTAAATATAGTTGTCTAGCTTCATCTTCTACATAACATTATTAGTTTTTTTTGGGGAAAATTGTCTAAACTAATAATAAACAGACATCTAGAAACTTGGCTTAGGGTTCTTTTGAAAATAAGTACAAAGACCAAGTCAGTCTCAACTCATATCCATTCATTGTGGGGTCCGAAGTGTTCAATCAAATCAAATAATTGACCTTTCAACGGTTTTACATTTGAACACACTGTATTCCACTACCCTTCATTCACGCACACATGCCAACATTTTCCCCACTTTTAGGTACCTCAGCTTATTATCTGAACCAAAAAGGCTCTCCTATTTTTACTTTTTAATATAGAATTTAGATAATTAATTTATAAAAATTTAAAAATTAGTTCAATTAGTTATTTATAAAAAAAATGTTAGTTTTCTTTCTTTTTAATAATTTGTATTAAACACTATTCTATTGATGAAAAACTCTCAATAAATGTAATCAACTAAGAGAATATAGAAAAAACATAAATTTGACAAAGTGTATTCAGATTTACATTTAAAATTAATACTAAAGTATACTTTTAGTTTTTTAACCTTATATAAAGTTTTGATTTGATCCATTGACTTTTAAAAAATATATTTTTGGTCTTTTAATCTTAAAATTATTAACAAAATATATGATATTGAGATCTTGAATATTGATAAAATATTATCAAAAGCTAACATATCAAGTTTAATTTTTTAAAATAATCATAATTGCTGCAACAACTCATCATTTAAGACTAATGATGTAATGGTCAAAGGACTAAAAATATATTTTTAAAATTAAAGAACCAAATTAAAATTTTATATAAAATTAAAGACTAAAATTATGCTTTAACTTAGAATCGAAATAAACTATTTTACAAGTTGTTTCATTTAGAATCGAACAGAATAGCAGTCAATACCCTACTATGGCATAATGGTATGAAACTCCTCTATAATGGGTATATTTAATTATTTCTTTCTCCTTATAATCCCAAAAAAATAGTACTAATGAATTTGCATAACTTCATCAACACTTTGAAAAAAAGCTTACCAAAAGGGCATTTTTGTTTTTTTTTTTTCCTCAAAACAATTTTATAAAATTGTTTTAGAAAACAGTTTTTGGGGAAAAAAACAAAACAATTTATTTAGATAATTGTTTAAAAAAATTACATTTGGAATAAACATACTAAAACTGGAGAGTAAAACTCTGATGAGAACTCAAATTCTCAAAAAGGAGAAAAAACCATCGAGTGGAGGAGAAGATTTCCCAATTTTTCCAAACAAAAAATAAGTAACGCAAAAACATATACAAGAAAAATTGTTTTGGTCTTTCAATTTTTTAAAAATAGGATGCTTTGTTAAAAACACCTAACTAAAAATAAGTTACCAAACAAGTTTTTTGAAAAAAAACTGTTTTGAAAAAAAAAAAAAAAACAACCGACACCTTAGCCTCTACGTGTAAAGTTAGCCTCCACGTGTAAAGTTTCAGAAACGAGTTTTCTTAATATTATATGAAAAAGCCGTACCTCTCCCGGGAGATCAAACAATGTTTTTGCCAGAAATTTTACTTCTCCCATCCAAAATATAAGACTCATTTTATAATATAATTTACACTATAAACTGAGTTTTACTTTTGAGACCTGAGAGAATAATTTAGTATTTTTAGTATTTAAGGTCGGACTATATGGAGTTTTCAATCCAATTTTTTTACTTTTGTGAGTAAATAACAAATATTGTTTCATTTGATTTTAAATATAAAATCAAGTTTATAGTACAATTTACATTACAAATTATATCCTATAATTAAGAGAGCATGTAGTATTTATAAATTGTCAGGGACATTTGAATTTAAATTGAAACTTTCTTGTGATATACTTCTTCTGATTCTATATGTAAGCTTCATTTTTTAAGAAATATTTAGTCTAATTTATAAGGTTTGTTTTGAGTTTTATCTGAACATTTAATAATGTTTTTTTAATTTTACCCTTAATTGATTATATTTAGTGTTTTATCTTTTTCAATGACTATGAATAATATTAATTAGAAAGGTGGCTAATCTGATTTTTCTTCACTTATTTTAATAATTCATTCTCTCTCTTTGTCATAGATACTCTCTCACTGACATATATTATCCCGTATATTCTCTTTCATCAATTATTCATCTATTATCTGTCTCAATTACTCTCATAATAAATAAGAACATATTTAAAAAATATTTTTTTTTATATATTTATTGTTTTAAACTAATTTTAACTAATTCACTAAATGCAATTCAGTAATTTGAAGGAGTATATCCATTATACATCCCATTGAAAAGCTGATGCAATTTTTTTCCTTTTTTTTTTTCAAGGGAAAACTTAAACATTAATATTAGATCCAACCGAGCACCCAAAAAAAAAAAACAAAGAAACATCTTCTATTGAAATTTTCCATATATAACCTAATGTTCAAATAACTGCATAAAAATATGTATATTCAAATTATTGATACAGCAATATGTATATCTTAATGCTACATGGTTCCTAATTATATATCATCACCAGTCTGATTTTTTAAGTTAAAATTGAAATATCCTTGTGATATTCATTACACATCTCAAGGGAAAAAAAGACAGCGACAAAAATATACCTTTCCTCTCTTAGATCGGAAAGGAATAAAATAAACATCTAATATTGATCATTTCCAATATCTAAACCTAATATAGTACTCATATTCTGCATTGAAGTATAAAACTCACCTTGCCTCTGCTTACTTCAGCAGCTATTTACAACCCCTTTCATCAACCCTAAAAATCTCACCTTCCGAGCCTCCGGAAACATTCCTCCACGGACTTGCCGGTGACCGGAAACTTACTCAGCCATCTTCTCCAACAATTCCACAACCTGTTGCATCACAGGTCTGTCTTTCTGTAATTCACTTGTGCACATCCAAGCAATCCTAAAGTACTCCTTTACATTATCTTCGCTCATTCCTTCTCTCGGAATATTGGAATCAACCATTTCCATTTGACAGTCCTCGTCCACCATTTTCCTGGCCCATTGAACGAGGCCCATGTCCCTCTTCTCAACCCTCACGGACAGATTGGGCCGCCTGCCCGTCGCGGTTTCCAACATTAAAACTCCGAAACTGTAGACGTCCACCTTCACGTTAGCAACATTCACCCCATCTCGGTACTCCGGCGGCATGTATCCCATAGTTCCGGCGAACTGAGTCGACACGTGAGAGTTTGAAGTGTCAATCCTTCTCGCGAGCCCGAAATCAGCAATATGGGCCTCGAAGTCAGAGTCCAGCAACACGTTACTGGCTTTGATGTCTCTGTGAATAATGGGCTTGTCCAGCCCATGTAAGTAAGAGAGCCCATTAGCTATGCCTCTGACAATCTTGAACCTCAGCTCCCACGAGAGAGGAACCCTTGGCATGGAAACGTCGTCGTTTCGAGACGACGATGACATCGTCGGATCGTGAAGCCATTGATCAAGATTCCCTCTCTCCATGAACTCGTAGACCAACATTCTCTCCTGAGCCGCTGCCCAGTACCCGAGAATTTTGACGATATTGGGATGTCGGAGCTTAGTTAGGGTTTCCATCTCGGCGCGGAATTCACGAAATCCTTGGAATGCGTCCGGCGAGAGCTTCTTGATGGCGACGACGAGGCCGTTGGAGAGACACGCTTTATAGACGAGGCCGAAGCTGCCGTCGCCGATGATGAGATCGGGTGAGAAGTTCTTAGTAGCTCTAGTGATCTCGTGCAAGGTGATCTGAACGTAGGGATCGAACGACCAGCTACCGTCGACGACGATGGAGGATAGCTCCGGCTGGGTCCGATTCTGAGTCTGACCACGGTTTTGACGCCGACGAGGATGGGTCTTGGTGTTGCTTTTGCAGACGAGGATGATGGCGGCGAAGATGAGGGTGATGGTGAAGAAGCTAATGACGGCGGCGACGACGGCGGTGAAGATGTGATCCATGGCGGTGGGGGAGGAAGGGAAGAGAAGGCGGATGGGTGAGATGGAGGAGAGAGGGAAACGAAGGTATTTGGAAGAAGAAGGAGAGTAGGAAAAGAGAGAAAGAGCGGAAGAGTGTGGGAAAAGGAAGACCAAGCGGCGCCATCAAAGGAGGGGGAAGTGGGTTCAAGGAAGGTGCGGTTTGGTCTGAACTGTGACTGTGAAGTCGTAGGCTGAACCAGTCAACGGTGTTCTTATCTGTAATTGCAAATCGACCCCTTGTGCGGGGAGTATGTTTCCACGCTTATTATTATTATTATTTTGCCAGATTACTATTATTATTATTAGCCCTTTCATGTTTTTGATCTTCATTGTCTTTTATATGTGTGTGTGTGTAAAATAAATGTACCAAGAGACTTACTTTAGCTATAATTTCATTTGTCATTTGATAAGCTTCTTTTTGTTTCAAAATTTATTAATAAGCTTCTTTCCTCTTTTTTTTTTTTTATTTGTGCTACTATTATTAATATCCATCTCTTGATCTCGTCTATCAGTTTGTTTTTAATCAATGATAATTGACTTTTAAGGAGAAAAATGATAACTAATGTTGGATTTTTTTGAACCAAAATTTTGCTCCTAATTAATGTCCAGTTATCAATCAATATAAAACATAAAATAGAAAAAAAATTGACAGAATAAATAATTATTATCTCCTGTAGTCTTCGCTTATCTTGAATTAATCCCTCTACTTTAAAACTTTCTTTGGAAAATATGTGTGATGTTGACGTAGGCCACGTTGCCTGCATATGTTATTATCTTGGTGGCCAGCTGCACATATATAAATTATGAAGCCAAAAAAATTAGGGCGCCAATGTCGCATGTACTTGTGTGGCCGAAAAAGGGGAAAAAAGAAATTAAAGATGCTAACATTTAATATCTAATCAATCATCTCTTGTTAGCAATGATTTGATTTAACTTTTTTATTATTAATATTAATGTATCATGAACTGCGGCCATCAAAGTTTTTCAAAGGGAAAATTTCATTCAAAGACCACAATAGCCAATTAATGTTAGGCAACTTCCAAAACATTTGAAAACTTCAGTCGATCTCTTTAGACCAAAATGAATTAAAATTTAAGGATAAAATTACAACATTACACATTCTTTTTATTTTTTTTAAAAAAGTAAATATTAATAGTCACCGGACTCCTGGCCACCGGTGCTCAGATGGCTAGTGCTAGAGGTCAAAGCTTTGGTGGCTAAAGGATTTTTTTCAAAAATAAGGTGACCGAGGGGGATTTGAACCCATAACCGCTTGGCACACCAAAAATAATATAACCACCAAGCTAATCAAACTATTTAATCATAAGATGCAAAGAAATATATATACAACAAAACAAATGCAAGTGTCTAAGCGTAAATGAATAAGTGAAATTCGACAATTTACAAGTGAAATTCAGTAATTCACAACAAAAATTTAGCAATTTACAAGTAACATAATGAAATTCATAACTCAAAATACAAGTGTTTAAGTGTGAATGAGTCAGTGAAATTCGAAGATTTAGAACAAAAATTCATGAATTTATAACCCAAATTTGGTGATTCATAAGAAACATAAGAAAATTTACAACCCCAAATATAAGTGTTTGAGTGTGAATAAACAAGCAAAATTCAATAATTTACAATAAAAATTCAGCGATTTACAACTCAAATTCAGAGATTCGCAGGAAACATAAATATTACAAAACTTATAAGAGAATTCACAACCTCAAAAGTTTTGCTAATTAAGGCAACGAAGCTTCTATTCGTGGAGGTTTCACTGCTTCCAGTGACATTAAGTGAAGATCAGCATCTTCTTAGTTTTGCTAATCAAGACTCGATCGAATAAAAAGGAATATGTAATGTCTCATTAGAATTAATTACATATTGCCTGTATTTAATTTCTGTTTCTTCATAATGCTATGATCTCAAGTTAGCTCTTTTACCCAGTTTTTGTTTGTTAGATACATTGCAATGTAATTATATTATAATTTTTCACAATGAATAAGATATTAAAATATGGTTTGTAATATAAATAAGTGTTATGTGGATAACATATTGTCAATAATACATTTCTCCACGTACAGTCTTCATTTCTTCTGGCTTCTCACACACAGACATCGAAGCCTTTGATAATTAACTTATAACTTCTATATATTTATTAGATCATAATGAAAAAATACACAAGTCAAAAAACAATAAATCTGGATATTTGAAGCACAATTTAAATTGATGCACAATGCGTCTAAGAAGTATAGTGGAATTCACAACCCAAATGAAGCCTACCTGAATATAAGCTCTGGTACCTTAATTAGCAAAACTTTTGAGGTTGTGAATTCTCTTGTAAGTTTTGTAATATTTATGTTTCCTATGATTATCTGAATTTGAGTTGTAATTCACTAAATTTTTGCTGTAAATTGCTAAATTTCACTTATTTATTCATACTCAAATACTTATATTTGGGGTTGTGAATTCCTTTATGTTTCTTGTGAATTGCTGAATTTGGATTATAAATCCATGAATTTTTATTTTAAATCTTCGAATTTCACTTGCTCATTCACACATAAACGCTTGCATTACTTGTAGATTGCTGAATTTTTATTATGAATTGTTGAATTTGACTTGCAAATTGTCGAATTTCACTTGTTCATTTACTCTTGGACACTTACATTTGTTTTGTATATATATATATATATATATATATATATTTCTTTGCATTATATGATTAAATAGTTTGGTTGGCTTGATAGTCACATTATTTTTGGTGTGCCAAGAGGTTATGGGTTCAAATCCCCCTTTGGCCATCTTATTTTTTAAAAAAAAAAAATCTTGCACCCACCAGAGCTCCGACCTCTGGCACCGGCCAGTCGGCCACCTATGTGTTGGCGACCAGACCTCCAACAACCATTAATATTTATTTTTAAAAAAAATAAAAAGAAGGGGTAGTATTGTAATTTTACCCTCAAATTTTAATTTTATTTTGGTCCAAGGAGGTTGACTAAGGTTTTCAAATGTTTTGAAGGGTTGAATGACGTTAATTGGCTACAGTGGTCCTTGAATAAAATTTTCCCTTTTTTAAACAACAATCGCTTCTTATTGTTGGATTGGCTTCAAAATGCTTGTAATGTTTTGACTTTTAAGGCTAGAAGTGTAAGAAATAGTCTGAGATAAGCAGGCTATTAGATCCCTTTTGGCAAAAGCCCTAGAAGTTTCTTGAAATGATAAGAAGGATTCTCAAAGACCAAGTTGTAAAGATAAAGTTTTCTGGAGCTAAGGGACAAGAAAGTTAAAGGTTGTAGTAAAGTATCAGAGGCTAAGTAAGAGGAATGAGGATAAATATGGGTAAATGGTCATGCTAAAAACCTCAAAGGGATAATTCTTAATATTAAACCTTAGCAGGGACCTAATTATAATTTTGAAAAGTTTTGAGTTGGAAAGGATAACAATAGAAAGTATGCCTGAAAATTCTAAAAATTTTCATAAAATGGGAAATGAGGTTTTGATGTTAGAGATTGTTTCAATGTGATTTGATGATTCTAATGAGTTTAAAATGTGTTTCATGTAGGAAAACACCAAGAAAAAGTGTTTAAAATTATTCGAATCAAAAATAAAAATTTTGGAATTCAATATCACCCTATTTGGCCAACTCTATTTGAAGGGGAAGGAATGTGATTTTGATAAATCTGATTTGATATTTGGATTTTACATGAAAAATTGTATAGAAATGGCCCAAGAGATTGATTGAAACAAAGATAAAATAATTATGTCAAAAATCAAGGAAAAATGGGTTTAATTGAGTTTAATGTCAAGCATTGGTGTTTATGCTTGGATTGATAGGCATTTTGCAAGAAATCAAAGAGAAGTACAATCATACTAAAGAGGCCGAATTGGCTAAGTAATCAAGAGGTAGCATTGAACTCATAATTCAAATGCTTTTTTGCTTGTTTAAATGTATTTGTGTTATTTGACTTATGTGCCATGATGTGATTGAGCAAATGAGGTGATGAGGTATGGAATTCTATGTTGAATATGTGTTGGCAATATGTTATGATGAATGGGATAATGGCTTGATTGATTTCTTTCTTTTCATGGCAAATGATATGCATATGAATTGTTGCATAATGATGTTATTTTTAGGAGTAAGCATTCGGTTTTTCGGTTTTTCGGTGATAACCGAAATAATCGAATAACCGAATAGAGCAAATTTTAAACACCGAACCGAAACTGATTAATCGAATTAACCAAAATATTTTGGTTCAGTTAATCGATTAGCCGAAATATATAAATATGAAAAGTGATTTTAAATTAAAAATAATAATAAAACACAATTACAACCATTAATTAATAAATATTTTATCATTCAATGTGATTTATTATAAAATAAAAATATTATAATAAATAATAATATTTTTTATTATAACTGTAATTTTTTTCTACTAACCGAACCGAACACTAAAACTGAATTTTAAAAAAATAAAAACTAAATATGTAACTGAAAACCAAAATAATTGAACGAAAAAACTGAAGTCAAATTCAGTTCGATTCGGTTGAGGTTGGTTTTTAGTTACGGTTTGATTTTGCTCACCTCTAGTTATTTTTATGCTAACATAGCACATTTTTACATAGCATAATTATTATGGTTCATTACTACTGAGATTTCCTATGAAATCTTATTCTTTTATTTTTAACATTCACCAACTAAGGGTTGGATCAAGCAAGGACAAGGGAAAAAAGATCATTTTGGAAGATAATTAGTTGATATGCCTCCTAAAATAATGTTTGTAATTATTATAAAATATTGTGGATTATGTTGAATATTTATATTAATGATTAAAGAATAGTATGCATGTTAATATTTGATTAAGGAATCATGTTTTGGGCATGAATTATGCTATTGCAATGGTTATACGGATTTAAAAGGAAAGAATAACTAAGAATGGCAATTTAAAGGGTTAAAAGTTAACTTTTTAAGGGTAAAGTTTGACCAATGAGATTATGCGCAATTGATTGAGAGATTGGCTGAAATTTGGTGGGCTTATAGATTATATTTTTAGCTTTAAAACAAGTGATATTTCACTAAATTTGAAGTTTTGTACAAAAAGTTATGTCTTTCCAAAATTAGGCATAAATTCTAGAAAAATAAAAAATGACCATATGAACAGTACCACTTCAAATGAATTTTGGGAATAATTGGTGAATTTTGGATATCAATGAGTTTTTTTCCCCTCCTAAATATTGCATCGAGAGCTTTAAGTAGAATTTAGAACCAATTCATTTCAATTTTTCTACAATTAGTTATGAATTTTCAAAGTTTATCC